CAGAGACCCATACTCGGAGACCCACATAGACCCATACTCATAGAGACCCAAAATTATAGAGACCCATACTCACGGAAATCCGTATAGACCCATACACATAGAGACCGACAGATATCCATGCTCATAGAAACCCAAAGAGACCCATACTCATGGAGACCCACAGAGACCCATACTCATAGAGACCCACAGAGACCCATTCTCATAGAGATCCACAGAGACCCATACTCATAGAGACCCATACTCATAGAGACCCACAGAGACCCGTGCTCATATAGACCCATAGAGACCCAAACTCATAAATACCCACAGAGACCCATATACATAGAGACCCACAGAGACCGATACTCAGAGACACACAGAGCCCCATACTCATAGAGAATCATACTTATAGAGACCCATATTCACGGAGACCCACAGAGACTTGTGCTCATACAGACCCATACTCATAGAGACCCACAGAGACCCATACTCATAGAGACCCATACTTAGAGACCCACATAGACCCATACACAGAGACGCACGTAGACCATACTCAGAGACCCATAGAGACCCATACACATAGAGACCCACAGAGACCCATACTCACAGAGACCCACAGAGACATATACTCATAGAGACCCACAGAGACCCATACTCATAAAGACCCACAGAGACCCATACTTAGAGACCCAAACACATAGAGACCCACAGAGACCCATACTCATAGAGACTCACAGATACCCATACTCATAGAGACCCACAGAGACCCATTCTCATAGAGACCCACAGAGACCCGTGCTCATAGAGACACACAGAGACCCATACACATAGAGACCCACAGAGACCCATACTCATAGATCCACAGAGCCCCATTCTCATAGAGACCCATACTCATAGAGAATCACAGAGACCCATACTCAGAGACCCAAAATTATAGAGACCCAAATTTATAGAGACCCAAACTCACGGAGACCCATTCTCACGGAGACCCATTCTCAGAGACCCACAGAGACCCATACACATAGAGACCCACGAAGACCCATACTCATAGAGAAGCATACTTATAGAGACCCATATAGACCCACACTAATAGAGACCCACAGAGCCCCATAATCATAGACCCACAGAGCCCCATTCTCAGAGACCCAACATTATAGAGATCCATATTCACGGAGACTCACAGAGACTTGTGCTCATACAGACCCATACTCAAAGAGAATCACAGAGACCCATACTCATAGAGACCCACAGAGACTCATACTCATAGTTGGAGGCAGTCGCCCTCCAACAACGGAGGGCGGAGGAGCGACGCTCACAACAACGAGCGGAGCGCCGGAGGGCTAAAGCACAGCAAGTTGGCACAGTAGGGGGCAACAGGTGGTGCATCAGCCAGTCATCTCACTCACCTCAGTCAGTCGACCCGTGGCACCTGCTGGGTCTGCCCCGTGACCTCCTGCCAGCGGGCGTTCGACACTTCACGTGGCCTCACGGTGCACATGGCCTGGCACAAGCGTCGTGGTGACGTCACCGCCACTTAGTGTCTGTGTGAGTGTCTGTGTCTCTGCGTGTCTGTGTGGGGAGCGGTGGTGTAGTGGTTAGCGCTATGCTGTGCGACGTGACGATTATCTGAACCACCATGAGTGACGATTATCTGAACCGGTCCTGGGCCTTCACTAGGTTGACTCAGCCTCAAATGAGTACATGGTTCAGTGTGTAAACATCGCCACTAGGGAAACAAAGCCGACCGGGCGTAATGTTGGCCACCCAACCCCTCGTGTGCCAAAGTGCCGGCCTTGATAGGTGCTACTCGCTAACAGCACCTGCCCCGACAGCCTGTTAAGGCTATACGGGGGATCTTTATCTTTGTGCGTGCCACAGCGCAGGCCTTCATAGACGCTGCTGCTGCTACTCGCTACTACTACTACCACCGCCTTTGCCCCAACAGGTTAACTTCTATGCAAATTTTCCAGCACTGCAGCAGTTTAAAAAAATGGGTAAAAAAAATACCCAAACCACACGAGCCAAACCGCTGAGTTGTAGGCCTTTTGGCGTCATCTGGTCCAACACCAATGGAGACTAGGCTCTAAGGAAAGCTGTCTCGGGTGTGGACCAATCAACTTCAAGGACAGTGCATATCATTACCATTATCAGAGTTGTTTCTTTTTGTTTGCATTTTGACTGCTTGTGTTGTGGTTATTGCAAACATGATGCCTTGTATAAAGGTGTCAGTTTTGTACCAGTTGAAAGGGTAAAAACCTACTACTACAGTGCCTCTTACTCTTAGTGTCTCTGAGTCAGCCACTACACTTGTGTAGTGTTGTGGATTCCGGAGACGTCGGACACAAGTCTTGGAGGCAACACTATTGATTCAACACAATGTCCGGCAGTGCAACCCGGCACACTCAGGGCAACGGCCCTTCCATTACCCTTGCCTAGGGAGGTACTGCCTCCGGGCTAACTCAGCCGATACGGGACTGCTACTCTAGGTCCTCCGGCTATGGGTGCCTAGGGGAGGCTACTCTAACCAGATCTAGCTAGGGAGCCTGGTTCCGACCACTGGGCCGCTCAGACCCGGCCCTTACAAGTGTAACGGCGTAAGTAGTGCAGGAGACGGTTGACGGAGGCAACACGTATTTATTTATAACACACAACAGTAACCGTCAGCTATACAGCCTAGGAACACAGCCTACGGCTAGCGTACCTGACACCGACTACGCTCTCAGGTCCTCCGGCTATGTATTTCCTAGGGGAGGCTATCTGACCCGACCTAGCCAGGGTACGGGTCCCAACCACTGGCCCGCTCAGACCCGGCCCTTACAAGGACATCGGGCCGGGGGTTCCTAGGGTCTCACCACTGAGCCACACAGAGTCCCGGCCCTGATAAGGTACCAGGGTCCTAGCTAGCTTGCTCCCTCTTCGTTCTTCACTGGCTCTTCTGCTCCAACGACTGCCTCGAGCTCTCTCGCGCACCGCCTTATATACCCAACTACCCCCCGAGGGGCGGGGCTGTATGCGGACGTTGATGCAGACACCCCACGCACGGACTGTGATGTAGACACCGCAACGTAATGGCTTGCTACACCCCGGTACGTACCACCTGTACACAAGGACATCGGGCCGGGGGTTCCCAGGGTCTCACCACTGAGCCACACAGAGTCCCGGAGCCCTGACAAGGGCAGCGGGTTTCAGGGTCCCAGGGTCCTAGCTAGCTTGCTCCGTCTTCCTTCTTCACTGGCTCTTCTGCTCCAACGACTGCCTCGAGCTCTCTCGCGCACCGCCCTATATACCCAACTGCCCCCCAAGGGGCGGGGCTGTATGCGGACGTCGATGTAGACACCCCACGCACGGACTGTGATGTAGACACCGCAACGTAATGGCTTGCTACACCCCGGTACGTACCACCTCTACACAAGGACATCGGGCCGGGGGTTCCCAGGGTCTCACCACTGAGCCACACAGGGTCCCAGGGTCCTAGCTGACCAGTCTTCGTGCTTCTATCTTCAACTGGCCACGGGCCTGTAGAGGTCCGGCTTATATACACCTCCCCACCCGAGGGGCGGGGTCCCGAGGGATCCTAGGACACCCCACGGCCCCCTCCCTCCTGCTCCGGGGCTCGGGATATTGTGACTGCCCCTGCTGGACTATGTCAGTCCTTACAGGTAAGTGTACACAGTTCGGCATCGCCAGTCAGGCAGTCTACCAGCTGTCCTGACTGGGAACCGTAGTGTTAACTGTTAGGCCGTGTTAATAAACAGAGTGCATCCTACACTTAGTGTCTCTTGAGTCAGTCACTACACTAGTAACGAATTGGCACGTTCTGTTTACGTGACAAACATGATTAATTGGCTGTGTCGGGTGGTGAAGGGTTTAACGACACATTTATCTTTACGTGATCTAACCCAAATAACATCTATATTATGAAAGTACACACAGGTAAATACATAGGTACGTACACACAGGTACACAAAAAGGTACACACACAGGTACACTCACAGGTACAGAGAGGTACACAAACAGGTACACACAGGTACAGACAGGTACACAAATAAGCACACAAAGATCCCCCGTATGTCCTGTAACAAACTTTATCAATGCACAATGTTCTTATACCTCCTGTCGTTTGCTCTCCAACACACACCCAGTGTAGTGCTGTACTAGTAACGAATTGGCATTGTTCCGTTTACGTTACACTAAACCTTCCCGATTGTCTTTGTCGGGTGGTGGCGGGTTTAACGTCACAACCTTTATACTTATGCGATCTAACCCAACAAAAACCTCTATTATGGAAAAAAATGATTAAGAACTTAGCCATTATCTGGCTAGTTATTTTGCCGTTCGGTCTTGGTGTGAGGGTCGCCGCGACCTGGCAGCGCGTTGAAGTTAGTGGCGGTCCCCAGACCCCCCTTTCAATCTGAGCGACAAGTAAGATTTAAATTTCGATTTAAAGCTTTCGTGACTGCAGGGATTCATCTTCTTGGTTCTTTCGGTAAAGTCACGTAGAATGGAAATAGTAAAATAATAAAAATAAAACATAATAAAATAATTCTCACGACGTTTCGGCCACAACGCAAGCAGCCGTCCTCAGGTGGAGAACAGGTCTGTCGAGAAGACAGAGTCTGACTCTGATGATGATGTGGTTGATCCACTATTGCAGATACACAGCCGTGTTGTGACATGGGAGGGTGATGACGATGTGGTTGATCCACTATTGCAGATACGCAGCGGTGTTGTGAAATGGGAAGGTGATGGTGATGTGGTTGATCCACTATTGCAGATACGCAGTGGTGTTGTGAAATGGGAAGGTGATGGTGATGTGGTTGATCCACTATTGCAGATACGCAGTGGTGTTGTGAAATGGGAAGGTGATGGTGATGTGGTTGATCCACTATTGCAGATACGGAGCGGTGTTGTGACGTGGAGGGTGATGATGCGTCCCTGATCCACCCCATGGTGGCTCGTATGTTGTGGAGTTTTCCCCCACCACACTTCTCCGGAGGGGACAGAGCAACACGAAGCAGAGGTCTGTCTGCTCATCGTCGTTTATTTTTACCGCAAGGATTCACAACGGTAGGAAGAGGCGGACCGGCCACGTAAAGCTGGGACTACTTTCTACCCGCCGCAGCGCTCCCCGCCTTTCCTGTAACTGCACGGTGGTCAGAGGTCGCAACCGGGTACCCGATACCCGTACCCTACCCGATACCCGTACCCTACCCGGCTACCCGTACCCGGCCGGGTACGTGTACGGGTAGGCCTTGAGTCACTGGTGAGTAACCGTTTGTCACTCATTTCCCAACGTCTTGTCTCTTCTCACAATTCAAGTTCCTAGAATCAACCCACCAGTGCCTGTAACATGGCTTCATCCCAGAGGTCGCAATCGGGTACCCGATACCCGTACCCTACCCATACCCGGCCGGGTAGGGTACGGGTCCCGTTTGCGACTCTGGTGCGGCCGGGTACGGGTAAGGAATCAAAACCCGTTTGTGACCTCTGACGGTGGTGGGGTCACCGTCCCACTCTCCCTGAAGAGTCCGAACTTCTCCCATCCAGAGACCAACTTCTCCTCCTCCTGCTGTTCACCTGGCAGTCGGATTCCGGAGCCAAATCTTCCTCCTCCCCCTGTTGCCATTTCACCTCCACACCTGGCCGTGTGTATAGTGCTGGGACTACTTTCTTCCACCGCAGCGCCCTTGACTTGTTGTAACGATGGCGGCGATCACCTCGCTCTCCCTCCAGAGTCCGAATTCTTCTCCACCTGCTTGACGATGCCTCCATCGACCTGGAGATCTTGTGTCCTGCAATGGAATCTTCATCATTTTCCCGTGTCACCTCCAACATCTGGGCCATGGCTTGTAAAACTGGCACGAATTTCTTCCACCGCAGTCCCCCCTTGACTTTCCTGTAACTGCACGGTGAGGTTCACCGTCTCTCTCTGCCTCCAGAGTCCGAATTCTTCTTCTCCACGGGCTTGACGATGCCTCCATCTACCTGGAGATCTTGTGTTCCGCAATGGAATCTTCATCATCTTCCCGTTTCACCTCCAATTCCTGGGCCACAGCTTGTACACTGCTACTCCCTTCGGCAGCCCCTCTTGACTTCCTCACAACTGCACAGTGGTGGCATCCCCTCACTCTCCCTCCGAGTCCGAATTCACCTCTTGCTTGACGATGACGCTTTTCACCTGGCAGTCGGATTCCAGAGCCGAATCCTCCTCCTCCTCTTCCCGTTTCACCTCCACTCCGGGCCACGTTTCAAAGCCTCCGTCTTCCCCCGCTTCCCGTTTCACGCGAGGTGGCCGGCTCCTTGCTTCCGTCTCCTCCTCTTCCTCCATCTCCTCCTCCTCAGTCTCCTCCTCAGTCTCCTCCTCCCCCCCCACCACCACCACCGCCGCCGCCGCCGCCGCCGCGGCCTCCTCGCCCTCCCGCGCGTGAGTCTTCCGGTGGGCGTTGCGCGCCGACGAGCGGGCGAACGCCTTGCCGCAGCGCTCGCAAGCGAAGGGCTTCTCTCCCGTGTGCGTCCTAGCGTGCACGCTCAGGTGGGAGGCCTGCGAGAAGGCGCGGCCGCAGCGGGGGCACGCGAACGGTCTCTCCCCCGTGTGCGTCCTCAGGTGGTTCGCGAAGTGCGACGAGCGCGCGAACGCCCGGTCGCAGTGCTCGCAGCGAAACGGCCGGTCTTCCGCGTGCGTCCTCGCGTGGTTGCGGGCGTTGGAGGCCCGGGCGAACGACCGCCCGCACACCCCGCAGTGAAACGGCCGTTCGCCAGTGTGGACGCGCGCGTGGATGCGCAGAGAGGACGCCACGGGGAACGCCTTGCCGCACACGTCGCAACGGAACGGCCTTTCGCCCGTGTGTGTCCTGGCGTGGATCTGCAGGGTGGAGGAGACGGCGAACGACTTGGGGCAGAGGTCGCACGCGAACGGTCTCTCGCCGGTGTGAGTTCTCTTGTGGCTGCGGAGGGCCGACGGCTGCGTGAACCGTCGGTCGCACACGGGGCAAGCGAACGGCCTTTCGCCCGTGTGGGTCCTGGCGTGGATCCGCAGGGTGGAGGAGACGGCGAACGACTTGGGGCAGAGGTCGCACGCGAACGGTCTCTCGCCGGTGTGAGTTCTCTCGTGGCTGCGGAGGGCCGACGGCTGCGTGAACCGCCGGTCGCACACGGGGCAAGCGAACGGCCTTTCGCCCGTGTGGGTCATGCGGTGCTTCTCCATGTGGCTCGCGCGGTCCGTCACGTAGGGGCAGTGGTCGCACTCGTGGCGGTTGCCCGGGGGACGCTCGGCAGGCCTCCGCTCCATGCCCGTGGGTTTTGCGCTACCTGGATGGAAGCAGAATGGAAAAACGGTGGCGAAAGCTATTTTTTTATTTTCTTTCTGCGTAGCTCTCATTCAGTCATCATGACTGGAAGCAGAGCCAGTCCACCGGACCTCCTGAATACCGAACAAGAGCCACATCATATTGTTTGGCAGTCTCCTGCACCGAGTAGAGGACTGTCCACCCCTCATGGTGGCAGGAGCCAGAGCCGGTCCACCGGACCTCCTGAATACCCAAGAGATTCAGGTGACACCTGTCCAGCTCCTGAGAGTGGCAGCCTCTCCTCTGCACCGAGCACTCGGACATTCCACGTGGCCACCCGCAGTGGCTTTTTGCCGTTTCTGGAGGAAAACCGAGGGTAAGGATTCAGTCTCCTGGCTCCGCCAAATGGGGTTTGGCAACAATACGTCATGGACGCCCGTCCCCCCGGGGGCCTCCGGCACAAGCTTTGCTCGATATTTATCCCGCGTTTTTGTGGTACCTGCATTGAAGGTGGAGGGGTTACCAGTCCCCTCGCACCCGTCCAGAGCTGCCATTGGCCAACTGTGATGGCCACAAGTGCCAAGAAGGTGTAGAGCCCAATTTCAAATTGGCCGTTCTCCCCATGGCATTGCTCACCACAGCGATACCATCAACCGAGGAAGTAGGGGGTTGTTTTTGCCCGACACACAAGACTCACACATCGGTCCATCTCTTCTCACCCAGTCACTCACTCACCCACTCAACTCACCCATTCACCCACCCACTCACACACTCACCCCGTCACACATCAGTTTTTCTCTTCTCCAGCCCATGCCGCGCTCGTTTAGCCCCCTCTATCAGTCACTAACTCAGTCACCCATTCATCCACTCGCTCCCCCATTCACCCAACCACACTCACCCACCTACTCACACACTCACCTCACCCACTCACCTCACCCACTCACCTCACCCACTCACCTCAACCACTCACCTCAACCACACACTCACCTCACCCACTCACTTACCCACACACTCACCTCACCCACACATTCATCTCATCCACACACTCACCTCACCCACCCCACACACATTCACCCATCCAATCACCCAACCACACTCACCCACTTACTCATCAGTCTATCTCTTCTCCAGCCAGTACCACTCACCCAACCACCCACTCACCCACCTACTCACACACTCACCTCACCCAAACCACACACACCTAACCCACTCACCTCACTCACCCACCTCAACCACTCATCCACCCACCCACTCATCTCAACCACTCAATTCACCCACCTACTCACCCACCCACTCACTGACTCACCCACACACTCACCGACCCACCCACTCACCCACCCACACACTCACCCATTCACCCACCCACTCACCCATTCACCCACCCACACACTCACCCACTCACCCACACACTCACTCACACACTCACTCACTTACCCAACCACTCACCCACACACTCACTGACCCACACACTCACCCACTCATTCCCTCGCCCACACACTCACCTCACCCAACCACTCACCCACTCACTCCCTCACCCACCCACACACTCACCAACACCCACTCACGGACTCACCCACACACTCACACACCCACTCACCTCACCCACCCACTCACCTCACCCAACCACTCACCCACACACTCACAGACCCACACACTCACCCACTCACTCCCTCACCCACCCACACACTCACCCACTCACTGACACCCACTCACGGACTCACCCACACACTCACTCACCCACTCACCTCACACACCCACCCACTGACCTCACCCACACACCTCACCCACCTACCCACACACTCACACACTCACTCACCTCACCCACCCACTCACCTCACCCACCCACACACTCACCCACACACTCACCCACCCACCCACACACTCACCCACCCACTCACCTCACCCACCCACTCACACACCCACCCACCCACAAACTCACCCACTCACTACCTCGCCCACACACTCACCTCACCCACTCACTCACCCAAACATTCACTCACTTACCCACCCACTCACCCACACACTCACCCACTTACCCACCCACCCACTCACCTCACCCACCCACTCACCTCACCCACCCACCCACCCACTCACCCACCCACTCACCTCACCTCACCCACCTACCCACACACTCACACACTCACTCACCTCACCGACCCACCCACCCACTCACCCACCCACACACTCACCCACCCACACACTCACCCACTCACTCACCTCACCCACCCACCCACTCACCTCACCCACCCACACACTCACCCACCCACACACTCACCCACCCACACACTCACCCATCCACTCACCCACCCACCCACTCACACACCCACCCACTCACCTCACCCACCCACTCACCTCACCCACCCACACACTCACTGACCCACACACGCACTGACTCACTCACTTACCCACCCACTCACCTCACCCACTCACTCACCCAAACACTCACTCACTTACCCACCCACTCACCCAAACACTCACTCACTTACCCACCCACTCACCCACTCACTCACCCACCCACCCACTCACCCACACACACACACCCACTCACCCACACACACACACACCCAACCACCCACACACCCACCCACTCACTACCTCGCCCACACACTCACTCACCCACTCAACCATTTACAGCCAACCGTGCTAATGCGGACTGCGTATTCCAATCGCGCCCGCTCATCCGCACTATGTATTCAAACCGCCCGTACCTATACGCGCTACTTATTCTAAAAGCAACCGCTTATCCTGACTACGAAATACATCGCGATTCCTACCGGGCAAGGGGGGGCGTGAGGTGGCCCACGCCCGCCTCGCCCCCCCCCCGGGGGAGAAATCTAGGCAAGACCGAGGCTTGGGCCTATAAGCCCCTCGGTCTCTACGATTCACGGTGGGACCGCCTCAGCCTGCCGGGGGAGAAATCTAGGCTAGACCGAGGCTTGGGCCTATAAGCCCCTCGGTCTCTACGATTCACGGTGAAACGGCCTCGGCCTCCCGGGGGAGAAATCTAGGCAAGACCGAGGCTTGGGCCTATAAGCCCCTCGGTCTCTACGATTCACGGTGAAACGGCCTCGGCCTCCCGGGGGAGAAATCTAGGCAAGACCGAGGCTTGGGCCTATAAGCCCCTCGGTCTCTACGATTCACGGTGGGACCGCCTCAGCCTCCCGGGGGAGAAATCTAGGCAAGACCGAGGCTTGGGCCTATACGCTGCTCGGTCTCCGCGATTCGCCTCGGTTCGCCTCGGCTTCCCGGGGGCGAAATCTAGGCAAGACCGAGGCTTGGGCCTATAAGCCGCTCGGTCTCCGCGATTCAGGGAGCCACAATCAGTTGGGCGAAGACGCGAGGCTATGAAACAAATCCTCCCCATCTCGGATGAGTAACTTGTTTGTTTGAGTTACAAAAAGACGATCGCTAAATTATTCGAGACGGAGGTTTTTAAAATACTCACAGAAAGCCAAGAACCAAGCCAAAAATAGATTCCAAATAATAAGTGGGCAGTCGGAATCGTTTGCATCGATTCGCGAAACGATTTCTCCGCCATCGGAGTCTGCAGAGAATTGCGGGAAATCGATTCCTTTGAGATTAAATACACAAAGTTTTGGAATCGATGCTCGCGACGATAGCAGCAACAACAAAGGAGGTTTGCCGCAGATAACGATTATTCGAATCGATTCCCTCTGGTGAGGTTTGTGAGGGGGGTGGGGTGGGGTGTGTGGTGGGGGGGGGCACAAGCGTCGTGGTGACGTCACCGCCACTTAGTGGCGAATGGCGGTTGTTGTATGTATGTGTGTCTGTGTGTGTGTGTCTGTGTGTGTCTGCGTGTCTCTGTGTGTGTCTGTGTGTCTCTGTGTGTGTCTGTGTGTCTCTGTGTGTGTGTCTGTGTGTCTCTGTGTGTGTGTCTGTGTGTCTCTGTGTGTGTGTCTGTGTGTCTGTGTGTGTATGTGTGTCTGTGTGTGTCTGTGTGTCTCTGTGTGTCTCTGTGTGTGTCTCTGTGTGTCTTTGTATCTCTTAGAATCTCTGTGTGTCTTTGTGTGCCACAATGTCGGCCTTCATAGTCTCTGCTGATGCAACTCGCTACTACTGACACTGCATTTGCCCTGACAGCCCTGCTAGAGGCTACATGGGGGAGCTTTGTCTAACACGCACATTGCACCAGGAACTCATTTGAGTTCACCATGGTGAAGCCTGGCACAGCAGTCAACCCATGGCACCTGCTGGGTCTGCCCCGTGACCTCATGCACCTAGCCTGGCACAGCAGTAGTACAACCCATGGCACCTGCAGGGTCTGTCCCGTGACCTCTGCCTCCTGCACCTAGCCTGGCACAGCAGTAAACCCACGGCACCTGCTGGGTCTGTCCCGTGACCTCCTCATGCACCTAGCCTGGCACAGCAGTCAACCCACGGCACCTGCTGGGTCTGTAGCGTGACCTCCTCATGCACCTAGCCTGGCACAGCAGTCAACCCACGGCACCTGCTGGGTCTGTAGCGTGACCTCCTCCTGCACCTAGCCTGGCACAGCAGTCAACCCATGGCATCTGCTGGGTCTGTCCCGTGACCTCTCCCTGCACCTAGCCTGGCACAGCAGCAGTCATCCCATGGCACCTGCTGGGTGTGTATCGTGACCTCCACCTCCTGCACCTAGCCTGGCACAGTAGTCAACCCATGGCACCTGCTGGGTCTGTCCCGTGACCTCCTCCTGCACCTAGCCTGGCACAGCAGTACAGTCATGACATCTGGGTCTCTGTGTGGTGAGTCTATGGGTCTCTGTGTGATGAGCCTATTGTTCTCTATGTGATGAGTCTTTGAGTGATGAGCCTATTGGTTTCTATGTGATGAGTCTTTTGGTCTCTGTGTGGCGAGTCTATGGGTCTTCATGCGATGATTCTATGGGTCTCTGTGTGATGAATATATGAGTCTCTATGTGATGAGTCTGTGGTTCTCTCTCTACACGAGTCTTCCCCCTCTACTCACCTCCCCCCTCACTCAAATCTCTCCCAGTGTCCTTCTCTATCTTATCTCTCCACCGCTTTAGTCTGGCACCACCACCTCCTCCAACCTCCTCCACCCTCCTCCCTCCACCTCCTCCTACCGATATAAAGTTCCCGTCTCTCCCCGTTCTCTGGATAGTTCCAACTCGCCCTTGAGCCGTTGAGTCTCCACCATGGCTCCTGTCCAGTTCCTCCTCCACCACCTCCACCTCCTCCACCTCCTCCTCCTCCACCTCCTCCTCCACCACCAGAACCACCATCGTCTCGTCGGAGCTGCTGCTCAGGACGACTCCACGGAGCGAGCGGATGTCCCCGACAAATCGGAGCCTCTGAGAATCCTCACCGTGTCGCTCATCGGTCAGCGATTCGTTCGTTTGAGTCAATAATGAGTCTATGGCTCTCTCTCTCTCTGTCTGTGTGTGGTGATGAGTCTATGGGTCTCTGTGTAGTGATGAGTCTATGGGTCTCTGTGTGGTGGTGAGTCTATGGGTCTCTGTGTGGTGAGTCTATGAGTCTCTGTGTGGTGATGAGTCTATGGGTGTCTATGTGATGAGTCTGAGTCTCTGTGTGGTGAGTTTATGAGTCTCTGTGTGGTGAGTTTATGAGCCTCTGTGTGGTGAGTCTATGAGTCTCTGTGTGGTGAGTCTATGGGTCTCTGTGTGGTGAGTCTATATTTCTCTGTGTGATGAGTATATGAGTCTCTGTGTGGTGAGTCTATGAGTTTCTGTTTGATGGGTCTATTGGTCTCTGTGTGGTGAGTCTATGAGTCTCTGTGTGATGAGTCTATGGGTCTCTGTGTGGTGATGAGTCTATGGGTCTCTGTGTGGTGATTCGTCTATGGGTCTCTGTGTGATGGTGAGTCTATGGGTCTCTGTGTAGTGGTGGTGAGTCTATGGGTCTCTGTGTGGTGGTGAGTCTATGGGTCTCTGTGTGATGGTGTGTCTATGGGTCTCTGTGTGGTGATGAGTCTATGGGTCTCTGTGTGATGGTGAGTCTATGGGTCTCTGTGTGGTGATGAGTCTATGGGTCTCTGTGTGGTGATGAGTCTATGAGTCTCTGTGTGATGGTGAGTCTATGGGTCTCTGTGTGGTGATGAGTCTATGGGTCTCTGTGTGGTGATGAGTCTAAAGGTTTCTGTGTGGTGATGAGTCTATGGGTCTCTGTGTGGTGATGAGTCTATGTCTCTCTGTGTGGTGATGAGTCTATGGGTCTCTGTGTGATGATGAGTCTATGGGTCTATGTGTGGTGATGAGTCTGTGGGTCTCTGTGTGGTGATGAGTCTATGGGTCTCTGAGTGATGGTGAGTCTGTGGGTCTCTGTGTGGTGATGAGTCTATGGGTCTCTGTGTGGTGATGAGTCTAGGGGTCTCAGGGGTGATGGTGAGTCTGTGGGTCTCTGTGTGGTGATGAGTCTATGGGTCTCTGCGTAGTGATGAGTCTATGGGTCTCTGTGTGGTGATGAGTCTATGGGTCTCTGTGTGGTGATGAGTCTATGGGTCTCTGTGTGGTGATGAGTCTATGGGTCTCTGTGTGGTGATGAGTCTATGGGTCTCTGTGTGATGGTGAGTCTATGGGTCTCTGTGTAGTGGTGGTGAGTCTATGGGTCTCTGTGTGGTGATGAGTCTATGGGTCTCTGTGTGATGGTGAGTCTATGGGTCTCTGTGTGGTGAGTCTATGAGTCTCTGTGTGGTGATGAGTCTATGGGTCTCTGTGTGATGGTGAGTCTATGGGTGTCTATGTGATGAGTCTGAGTCTCTGTGTGGTGAGTCTATGAGTTTCTGTTTGATGGGTCTATTGGTCTCTGTGTGGTGAGTCTATGAGTCTCTGTGTGATGAGTCTATGGGTCTCTGTGTGGTGATGAGTCTATGGGTCTCTGTGTGGTGATTAGTCTATGGGTCTCTGTGTGATGGTGAGTCTATGGGTCTCTGTGTAGTGGTGGTGAGTCTATGGGTCTCTGTGTGGTGGTGAGTCTATGGGTCTCTGTGTGATGGTGTGTCTATGGGTCTCTGTGTGGTGATGAGTCTATGGGTCTCTGTGTGATGGTGAGTCTATGGGTCTCTGTGTGGTGATGAGTCTATGGGTCTCTGTGTGGTGATGAGTCTATGAGTCTCTGTGTGATGGTGAGTCTATGGGTCTCTGTGTGGTGATGAGTCTATGGGTCTCTGTGTGGTGATGAGTCTAAAGGTTTATGTGTGGTGATGAGTCTATGGGTCTCTGTGTGGTGATGAGTCTATGTCTCTCTGTGTGGTGATGAGTCTATGGGTCTCTGTGTGATGATGAGTCTATGGGTCTATGTGTGGTGATGAGTCTGTGGGTCTCTGTGTGGTGATGAGTCTATGGGTCTCTGAGTGATGGTGAGTCTGTGGGTCTCTGTGTGGTGATGAGTCTATGGGTCTCTGTGTGGTGATGAGTCTAGGGGTCTCTGTGTGATGGTGAGTCTGTGGCTCTCTGTGTGCTGATGAGTCTATGGGTCTCTGCGTAGTGATGAGTCTATGGGTCTCTGTGTGGTGATGAGTCTATGGGTCTCTGTGTGGTGATGAGTCTATGGGTCTCTGTGTGGTGATGAGTCTATGGGTCTCTGTGTGGTGATGAGTCTATGGGTCTCTGTGTGATGGTGAGTCTATGGGTCTCTGTGTAGTGGTGGTGAGTCTATGGGTCTCTGTGTGGTGATGAGTCTATGGGTCTCTGTGTGATGGTGAGTCTATGGGTCTCTGTGTGGTGAGTCTATGAGTCTCTGTGTGTTGATGAGTCTATGGGTCTCTGTGTGATGGTGAGTCTATGGGTGTCTATGTGATGAGTCTGAGTCTCTGTGTGGTGAGTCTATGAGTCTCTGTGTGGTGAGTCTATGAGTCTTTGTGTGATGAGTCTATGGGTGTCTATGTGATGAGTCTGAGTCTCTGTGTGGTGAATCTATGAATCTCTGTGTGGTGAGTCTATGAGTCTTTGTGTGATGAGTCTATGGGTGTCTATGTGATGAGTCTGAGTCTCTGTGTGGTAAGTCTATGAGTCTTTGTGTGATGAGTCTATGGGTGTCTATGTGATGAGTCTGAGTCTCTGTGTGGTGATTCTATATTTCTCTGTGTGGTGAGTCTATGAGTCTCTGTGTGGTGAGTCTATGGGTATCTGTGTGGTGAGTCTATATTTCTCTGTGTGATGAGTATATGAGTCTCTGTGTGGTGAGTCTATGAGTTTCTGTTTGATGGGTCTATTGGTCTCTGTGTGGTGAGTCTATGAGTCTCTGTGTGATGGTGAGTCTATGGGTCTCTGTGTAGTGGTGGTGAGTCTATGGGTCTCTGTGTGATGGTGAGTCTATGGGTCTCTGTGTAGTGGTGGTGCGTCTATGGGTCTCTGTGTAGTGATGAGTCTATGGGTCTCTGTGTGGTGATGAGTCTATGGGTCTCTGTGTGGTGATGAGTCTATGGGTCTCTGTGTGGTGATGAGTCTATGGGTCTCTGTGTGATGGTGAGTCTATGGGTCTCTGTGTGGTGAGTCTATGAGTCTCTGTGTGGTGATG